CAGAGCGCGACTTAGGTCTAGTTCTAATGGAAGAAATGGGCAGAAGTGCAAACTACACGGGGACATAGCGAGGACATATGCGGCCATACACTTTACACATAGACAGTTAGGTGGACTCAACTCTGAGCTCTTTCTGAGGTTGTACGAAACATACGTCAGACCATACCTTGAAATGCATAATATTATTGCATCCCCAATGCTTAGAAGAGACGCCAACCTCTTGGAAAGTGTCCAACGACGGGCAACAAAAGGAGTGGTTGGTCTCCGAAATAAACCATATGATGAAAGGCTGAAGAAACTGGGCCTGTTCACACTCAGCTACTGCCTACAAGATAACAGATGACCAGAATTACCCAAACAAAGGTGTTCTGCAACTGAGGAGGTAAAGGCTTCCTCGTGGAAATTCCAGAAGGATAGCTCACCAGAGGGCAAGGACCCGGGTGTGCTCCCACTTCTTTTCACTGCGGGTTTGCCGTCCCCGGAATTCCTTACCGGCAGATGTAGCTATGGCACCGTCTTTGGACGCCTTTAAGCGAAGGCTGGACAACCATGCAGCGACACATATACTGCGTCCAAATGGCCTATATCCTTCAAATCCCTCACACCATTCAGGGCAGACGACTAAGTTTGTCGTTTTATTTCTTTGCATTCCTCCCCGTCCTACTCTCCTGACAACTCTAACTACACTTATTATTATTACTGATATATATATCAACTTCAAACAAAATCAACTGCCCGTTTCATGTTTTCTTTGTTTCTTTTTCTGTTAGTCTGAACTAATTATGTGGTGAGAGCAGGCTGCTAGCCATTTGGTAGACATCAATCTACGTCAATGTCTAGGTCACTAATATTGGCCGTGAGAAAATATGAACAAGGCTGATTCAACAACCAATCACAGCAGACTTAACGTGACTAAATATGATTCGCAGATATATGGCTCCATTTTTCGAGGTTACCCGAAACAACCAATCACAAGACTGCGTTTACCTGCTTAACTTCCGAGAAACAACCGATCACAAGACTGCGTTTGTCTACTTGGCACGACGAGCTACGTAGAAGTTTACTGAAGATCAGGAACCTATACCTCACAATCAAGAGGCGAGCACAAAGAAATCAAATTGGTTTATACTAGCTCGTAAAAGAGATATTGGATATTGCAAAAGGCTAGAAACTTAGACAAAAGGGTAGAGCTAGGGACTTAGGAGGAGCAGTTTGACTTTACGTATTCTGCCGTTTCACGATAGACCTAATGCGCTAACATTATCATACCTATTCCTTTACTTCAGGAGTTGTCATTTGAGTAACCATGTTAAATGAACTTACAGCCAACTATCGAATCGTCAGTACCCAAGATGGACATTATGTCCACATAACTGGAACACTTAAAAGAATATTTTTATTTTACTGTTAACTAATGCTGCAAGTGACTGTATTTTATCATAGTTGTTTACTAGAACACTGAAAATCCCAGAGAGCCGGCCTCACACTCAAAGGAGAGAACAAAACATAGTTAAAAAAATCCTCAACCCCTAGTCACACTACAGTGGTGCAGCACGGACGATGATAGCCAGTGTCATTCGAGTGCTCCGACTGAACTAGAGGAAAAAACGCCAACAGACCGGTTCCCGGGGAATCGGCCAACTAGTTCGTAGGATAACCCCTCAACCGATAGCCAATATCAAGTCAACTACCCCCCAATACGGGGAAGTGGTGAGACTGACTACCAGTTGCCTGTACAGTAATGTGAGAGGGCTAAGAGGCAAAATAGCTGAACTTAGACACCTACAATCACAACTGAACTCCAAAATCATCATACTGACGGAAACCTGGCTAACCCCTACGGTGGCAGACAGCGAAGTCAGTATAAATGATATGGTCCTAGTCAGGCGAGATAGGGACCTGAAAGAAGGAGGTGGAGTCGCCATATACGTCGACAAACAGCTCAGATGTGTTCACGCGATGGACCCTCCCCTCACAGAGCTCCCTGACTCCATATGGTGCCACTTCACCGTTGGGTACTGCAAATATCTAGTGGGCAGCATTTATCGATCACCTTCATGTGGAGCAGACCACAACCAGGTACTGCTAAATACAATCTCAGCAACTCAAGACATGGGTTATGATCAAATTGTCATAGCTGGTGACTTCAATGCCCCATCTCTTAACTTGGTGTCGGGAAAAGCCCATGATAGATTTGATCGAAATCTGCTGCATACCATCAGGAAGGCTGGATTCACTGAAAATGTCAAGATGGATACTAGATGGGGCCCTGATGGGAAGTCTTCTAGACTGGATTACGTGCTCACTAGTGACCAGCTACTAGTGGAAAACGTTCAGATCACGACTCCCATAGGTAGTAGTGACCACGCGGTCATAGTATTCGACATAGTCCTCCGCGAGCGCTTACAGTGGGACAATACACAGCCCTATCTGTGTTATAACAAAGCCAACTACACCAAAATGCGAAGACTTCTGTCTGAAGCAAATTGGCCCTAAAAATGGACAGAGCTAACAGTAGAAGAACACTGGAGAGTGGTAAAGGAGATCATTCACCAGGCGGTCTCAGACACTGTTCCTTTAGTCACACCAAAAGCTAGGAAGCAACGATCATGGCTAAAAAGGGGGACACAACGCCTTCTGCAGGCGAAGCGAAAAGCCTGGTTTGCGTGGCGACGATCGAAGAGTCAACCCGAACATGAAGTGTACCTTGAACTCAGGAATCGATGTAACATACGAGTCCGGAGCGATAGAAGGACATTTCAGGGAAACCTCGCCAATAAGCTTCTCGTGAACCCCAAAAGCCTATACAGGTTTATGTCCGAAAGAAAACCGACCAACCAGGGAGCATGCAATCTAGTGGGTTCTGATGGGAAATCTCTTACTAGTCTTGAAATGGCAGAGACATTCAGCCTAGCCTTTCACAGGCAACTAAACAGTAACGAGGATATTACCCCCACAGAACATCCAGATTACATCGCAAAACCAACACGCGAAAACCTGCTGGGTACATTTCAAATTACCCCGGCTATGGTACTTGCAAAATTGGGAAGGTTGGCTTCGGGAAAGTCTTCAGGTTGTGATGACATCAGACCATCTGTCCTGAAGCAGTGTTCAGAAAGTCTCTGCCAACCCCTAAGTGATCTGTTCCAACACTCCCTTGATGTAGGGAAACTTCCATGTGAATGGAAACGAGCAATCCTATCCCCTATCTTCAAGGGTGGTGACCGGCAGAATGCGACCAGTTACAGACCAGTTGCTCTACTTCCAGTGATATCGAAAATATTGGAAAGTCTCATTGACGACCACATGAGAAAATACTTCGATGGGACTAACCTTCTTCACGAAGCACAGCACGGTTTTAGGGGGGGAAGATCCTGCGTGACGAATCTTCTACTAGCTTGGAACGATTGGACACTATCCTGGGACGAAAAGGTACCAGCCCACGTCATCTTTCTCGACTTTGCGAAAGCATGACTGAAAGTTTACTTAGGCGAGAGAGAATTCTGCACCAAAGTCAACCGCATCCGATAATCCTGGCACACCTCAGCATCAGGGGTTCCTCAGGGTTCTATCCTAGGGCCGTTGATGTTTTTGATTTTTATCAACGACCTACCCTCCCAACTAAACTGCTCTGCGCTTCTTTACGCTGACGACGTAAAGATTTGGAGAGCAATAAACTCATCGGAAGACTCAGATAGATTGCAGGCGGACCTGCAAACTCTGGGAAACTGGGCTCTGGCTAACGGAATGCATTTCAACGTAAAGAAGTGCAAAGTAGTGCAGCTTCATTCCGGCAGGTCACAGAGTGTAGATTACACCCTTGGTGGCCAGAACTTGAGTTGTGTTCCATCAGAGCGCGATCTAGGTCTTATCCTAACAGAAAAGCTAGACACCAGTGGAAATTACGCGAGGGACGTCGCCAAAGCCTACGCAACTTTACACTTTATGCATAGGCAGCTGGGAGCTCTCACTCCCGAACTGTTCTTAAGGTTATATAAGGCATATGTGAGGCCACATCTTGAGGTGCATAATATCATTGCACCTCCGCTACTCAAAAGAGATGCTAACATTCTAGAAAGTGTCCAGAGACGAGCGACAAAATGGGTGATCGGCCTCCGCAACAAATCATACGAGGAACGACTAAAGAAATTAGGTCTTTTCACACTTAGTTACCGTAGGCACAGGGGAGACCTCACCACCGTCTACCAGATCTTTAATGACCAGGCCCATCCAAATAAAAGCATCCTGCCATTAAGTGACTATAGGCTTCCACGAGGTAACCCGCTAAGAATAGCACACCAGAGACCAAAGACTCGAATGCGATCACATTTCTTTTCGCTTCGTGTTTGCCGTCTCTGGAACGCTTTACCGGCGGCCGTGACTACAGCGCCTTCTCTGGAGATTTTTAAGCGGAAGCTAGACAATCATGCAGAAATGCAAGGTTTGTGTCTCAATGGCTTATCCTCATAAAACTTAAAACCACACTGTCAATGGATAAGCGTACAAACTAAATCCCCACGACCTATTCTGCCTTCTCTCACTCTATTTTTTCCTTAGGTCACCTTTATTATTCCACTTATCTCAACCCATATTATTTACACTACAACCTATTATTATTATTATTACTATTCTGCTTTTATGACTACACCGAATGACCAACGGGAGTTAGGTCAAACTCCATTCACGGCAGCAATACAGTCCTAACATAGTGCATACTACAAACCACATCTTGACCAATCCCCGCACCACTCCTCCTGGAGTCTACCAGAGCTAAAGCAGTCGAGTGGCGGAACTTACTACGCAGAAGCTCACCGAAGATCTGGAACCTCTGCCTCTCAATCAAGAAGCGAGCTCAAAGGAATCACTGGTTTATACTAGCTAGTAATCAGGATATTGGATATTGGATATTGGAGTTGTATCCTCTGCTTCCTGCAGCGCCTCCCTTGGCTTTTGCGGCACTCGTGGTTTGGCATTCGGGTTGACTTGGTACCCTGTTCGTCATGTCTCAATCTCGCTTAGTTTTAGACAGTAACCCAGTGGTATGTTGTTAGATAGCCCTCTAATCACTTCTTCAGGGTTTTAAGTCCAGGCTATCCGCAAGAATCAGCTGGAGAACTGCTGTGATATTCGGAATTCCTCTTGGCATCGCTGGAATAGCCCTGTATCTTCATTACATCAGAAATAAAAGTAAGCCGCCTAACTTTCAGGCCTCAAATATGTGTATTATTTCCATCATTGCAGTAGACTTTCTATTTTGCTTTCGCTCTTCTCTATAACTTTTCGTTTTTTACTTCTCATATTGTTTTACACTTGTTTTGTCGATTCCTCTCCTTTCTTTAGTTTTTGTTCCCTCAGTGTATCTTCTCCAATATTGTTTTGACTGGTCTGAAGGATTTTATGGCGAGAAGACATGGATATTAACCTGGAATATTCAAGATAGACTAACACTATTAGTCAGTGAAATAGACCTATGCAGGAATCCGTTAAAGGTCGGAAAGTGTTCTGAGACACCGGCTAAGTTAATCCATAGCAGCCGGAACCAATGATATGAACGGATCTCAGAACAACGTAATCTATCACCTTTTTATAAATTTGCGGCTGATTGTGATGGTTTCCTTAGTTCGTCTCCTCCGGTATTAGTAATATGGATGTACACCACACGGATCAACTCAGTGCATATTAAACATAAAATTTTGGATTATACTACTTCGTCTCTATGCTTAATTAGTAGTCGAATTTCGACTATCGGAAGTTATTTACCTGGGTGAGACGGTACAAGGGTTTTGCTCTGTAATAATATCTTGACTGACAGCAAAGTTCTTTCCCGTATACTGTTAATTTTAGCTGTAGTGGAGAAGAGCCTTAATTATTTTATTTTGCTTTGATAAGTTCTACAGTAATTAAACAGAGGTTTAACCCGTTAACTAAGATCTAGCTAGGTAGTTTCAGTAGACCTCAGGTAGATATGGTTGTTTGATTATTACAAATTTAAGTGTGCTGTATGGCTGCTTTTATACATTTTCTGTAGAAGGACAGAAATACGACACGACAGACCTTCTGGTTAGCTTCTGAAAATTGTGTCTGTATTACTAGGATAATAAGTCGGGAATAGAACTTTACCTGTTGGTTGTCTTCTATAACAGCGACTCTATGCGTAATGGGGTCTTTATCTTTGTACAGGACTGCTAAACATTTTCAGGTGGGGTTTGAAAGGTGACAGCTAGTTGACGTTTATGTGGTCTTAAATCCTACCTTAATGTATGAGTAGATTACATAACCTAAGCAGATTTCTAAGACTCCACATAAACAGCGTTGTGTGTAATAAAAAAAATAACCTATCTAACAAGCTTGCTTTGCATAAGAACTATAGTTTCGGGTTTCTTAATAATAGGGAGACCATCAACAATTCGTTATTTGACCACCTGGTCCTGCAGCCACTAAGCCAGCATTGAAGGATCCTTTTCTGTCATCTACTGGTTAATTGCCAAACATCGAGGTACTGCATGCTCCAAACAGCAGAGGATATTGCAATTCGCCTCAAACAGCCAGTGCTCTGTGTGCAAAAGAAGCAAGTCCAGCCACTACTACTTCCCAGGCCTTCAGTAGAGACTATAAATTCATGAATTGGTATTATTATCTTCCCTAGTTTTTCTGACACTCAGTTTATTGTTATGTTGATGCCATTGAATCTATTGATATTACTGATTCGATGTTATTTAAACATTAATGTTGTTGATAACTGATTCTTTCATTCACTATTATGTATATGTAACTGGAACCTGATGGTGGAATTATCGAAGAGAGTATTCTTTGTTCAGTAACCATTCTTTTGAATGATGAAAATAAATATACATTCTTAAGGTGTAACTCATCGTGCTAAAATATGTAAGTGGCTTTTTTCTATATTACAGAGCAAACACGCGCAACAGAACTTACACCTGAGACACCTTTAGAGGCTGCTTTAGCATTAAAGCTGAAAGGAAATAAATTTTTCAAAGGTGGACAATATGCTCAAGCAATCAGTTTATACGATGAAGGACTTGAAAAGTGCCCTGTAGAAGCAGTTCAAGTAAGTAAAGTTAATAACTTGACTAGTTAGTTCACTTCGATACTACTGCTATGATAATTTCTGACAAAAATAGGACGTAGTATGTTTCAAATAAAATACGTCTTCTTATTGTTTCATTGAAATCCATAAACTGAACTAATTGCTCTAAATTTATGGTAATTTTGTTATCAAGAAGGTTGTTCTCTACAGACCATTACAACTTAGCACCTAACTCCCTTTCTACTACTGTTAGGTGCTAAAACGTCAAAGCACCATAATTTGGTATTTATTACGCAAGAAACATCCTTTCGGAAATCAATAGGTAGTAGAAAAATATCAATATTTCCCTTCTGATAGTTGAAGTGAAGTATGTCTGTGTGTAAAGCCCACTAGCTCATCAAAACACTGCGCAATTGATTCTTTTAGTTACGTAATACATCACTAGTGTTATTCTAAATCTGCTCGTTTGCAAGGTTACCTAGAATTGAAAATATTATGCAACTCGGTAGTCCCTTACAGATATGTTCATGAAATTACCAACCATATCTACCTGAAGGCTACTGAAAATACATGGCCGAATCTCACTTTGGTTACACTACAGCATGACTGTTAAATTACAGTTCAAAAATACTTTGTGATCTCATTGATGGTACATCGCTTTCGTTAAGGGATAAGCGCCTATTAGGAATTAGCATGCGTTGCGATATGTATACGTATATTCTCCCTGGTTCGAATACCAGTGAAGTAATATGGTAGTTTAAAAATTCAATTCACAAAACTTCTGACTGTTTGAGAGTTACAACACAAATTCGCACAGAAGTGCAACTACATAGATCACAAAGAGAGTAGAGAAAAAAGATTCGAGAGAACTAAAATGAGCAGAAATGTGGGAGAGAAAGAGTAGTAACAAGGAAAAACATAGGGGTTTAATGGATATGGAAGGTCAAAAGGAGTGAATGCATCTGCGCCACTAAGAAAGATTTTGAGCCACATTACCAACAGTTTCCAGCCATTCGTTCTCAGCATCTTGAGCACATCGACCAAGCCGGTTGCACCTCCCTACGTGGCTCAAATTGTTAAAGACTTCATGCATTGATGGCAAGTGTTCGTCTAACCACCTGTAAGTCTTTTCCAACTTAGTTCTACGTCAACTGACATTGCTTGTCGAGGGAGACAGTGTCTTGGCGTGCTTAACACGTATCCTATCCATCTCGGCCTATTTAGCTTCACAGCGTTGTCAATCGGCTCGCTCTCCTTACCTAGCACTATGCGTAATCTCAATATTTCCTTCTAGATTATACCACTCAAAACGGGTAGTAGAACACAACTTCAATACTCAGAGTAGCACTACATTTCTGGTAATGTCAGCTTATTTCTACTTATCATTTCCACTCTATTTATAATTTAGCGTGTATCTAGTTTCAGATTAAGCTATACATTCGCTGTTTACTTGTATTCATGTGTACGATAGTTTCACATTTGGAAATATTAGTATTGTATGAAGCATATCCAGGTTTAGTTCTATGCAGAGCATTAATTCCAAAAACTATATTCTGAATAACTCCCTAAAACTCTGTTAGTATTGTCAAAGAAAATACGCAACCTGACTAGAGATTTCCAGACATATGATCAATCATTATGAATAAACACTTATAAGTTGGTAACATGATAAAGAATATAGTTGACATCTCATTTTAACCGTTTGGTAAACTATTCACAATGACTCAATTCTGTCTATAGCTCTAACTCTTGTCGTCTTTATTCCATATTCTTCCAGCTATTTTTCTTAGGACTGTTTTCTACTTCTATCCAACAAGTATTTTGAGATATGGTATTGTAGCTTAACAACAGCGGATCCAATACAATACCTCTAAACAAATTATTTTTTTTATCATACACTGTTAGACAACAGTAAATAAAATTGTGAGATCACATCCATAATCTTTTCTCGTGAAGTAATTTGTCACAGTCTCCTTATTGTTTCGATCTTTTTATTTACTGTTTTAAAAAAGTGGCAGTATTCTTATACTCCTGTTAGTTGACCAATAAAGTGAAAATAATAAAAGGTGCACTGGATACAGAACTCCGCCAGTCCACAACAAGCTGTTTTCAGAAAAAGCAAGTCACGTACTGATTAAATTACAACTCTAGTCATCATCCTCGAACAAAGCATAGAATGGGAGTCAAACCTCTGCCTCAATTTCATCAACTTCGAAAAAGCCTTCAATAGCATCAATGGCAAAGTAATTTAAAAACTACTTCAACACTACGCCGTCCCCCAAGTCTTTATCAGCCTCATTCAACAGCTGGCTATATGACAGTGGCAGATGTCAGGTGACCCACAACGTGAAACTCAGCGAAGCCTATGAAGTGAGTGCAGCAATAAGACAAGGCTGCCTACCTACTATCACCGATGATATCCTTAATTGTAGTCGACTAAAATATTTGTAAGACTGTGGGGAGCGAGGAGACAGGAGTATTCTGGACCACTGATGAGGAGATTCTAGAAGATCTGAATTTCGCAGATGAATTTTGTCTAATGCCGCGCAATCTAGAAGACTTGCAGGCAAAATATTAAAAAAGCTGGCTGAAGAAGGTGGCAGCGAAGACAGGACTCCAGGTGAACGTAGAGAAGACGGAGGTGATGAAGATAACCAAACCACAACAACAAAAAGTATCAATTACCATCAATGGGAAAAATTTGAATGAAGTTAATTCCTGCATTGTTTCAACTACAGAGGGGATGGATGGAGATGTCAAAGCTAACCAGAATCGGAAAGGGATGATACACCTTCATCAATCTGAAATCAGTTTGGAAGTCTTCAACCCGTAGCATACAGAACAAGATTCGGATTTTCAACACAAATGTGAAATGAGTTTTGTATACGTCAGAAACTTGGCGCATTACGAGGAATATTTCCAGCAGATTGCGGACTTTCATCAACAGCTGGCTCTATATGGAAGATAAAATGGTTGGCCAGGGAGAATTAGCAACAAAAGCCATGGGAACAAACAAATCAAGAACCTATCGTTCAACAAACATGTACGAGGAGATGGAGGTGGATTGGCCTCACGATGTTGAGACTGCCGAATAACATCGCACACCAGACCAGTGCCCGAGTGGAATTTAAGTGGGAAGCAACGAGTGAGTCGCCCGAGGAGATGTGATATTATGGGCAATCGTGGGCTCAGCTGAAGAGGACGACAGAAAATAGAAGAAAGTGGAGATGTGTTGTTGAAACCCTACATTCCACTAGAAACCCAATGGAACAATAATAATACCTTTTAGAAAATAGGTTTTTTATAGGCATTTGGATTAATCACACTTGTTAGATTTCATCACGAACCAACATCACTTAGAGAACCATTGAAAACCACCAAGGAGCACTGTACATGTGTTTCGTCCTAAATTTGGACTGTCAAGCATTGCACACCCATGACCTCACCAAGGGTCGAACCCGAGGCCTTCAGATGACAAGACCAATCTCATTGACTTTTCAGACGTAATTCAATAACCTGTGAATTCTTACTCTTGTTAATTCATGCTATAGAGCTACACTCAATGAATGCCTTCAATGAGCAGCATCCACCTCACCTTGACATAGTAGTTCCCAATGGCCAGAACTCTACAGCTTTAGGATATCCATCCAGCAGCAGCTAATATTCTGGAGATTGATATATAGATTATGAGTTGTTGTTTTTTGTAAAGATTTGGATTGCTTTCAGTGTAAGACAAAACTACACATCGACGCCTAGTTTAAAAATAGGAAGTGAAGTGGTAGAGCACGTTAACCGCTTCACTTATTTGGGAAGTACCATCAGCCAGTGCCAACGGGTTGATCTCTGACGAAATCTCAGCACGAATACAGGGGGCTCGTTTCGCATTTGCCAGTTTACGCCGACTCTGGCGTAGACGAGATGTTCGACTATCGACCAAAGGGCGGGTGTACTGCTCATCAGTCCGCTCCGTCCTCCTTTATGGTTGTGAGACCTGGCCACTGAGAGTGGAAGACATGAAAAGACTAGCTGTCTTTGATCAAAGATGTCTGCGCTCTATTTCCCGTGTAAAGTGGCATAATAAGGTGAGCAACATGGAGGTTAAGCGTCGAGTTCTAGGTAAAGAGGGGAAATCAATCGACGAAGTCTTGAAGTTACAAAGACTGAGATGGTTAGGACATGTGTTACGTATGCCAAGCCATCGCCTCCCTCGACGAGCAATGTTAGCGGATATAGGGTCAGGCTGGAAAAAAGCTAGCGGCGGTCAAATAAAAACTTGGCTTCACCAGTCAATGAAATCCACAACAGTTGGTCTAAGCCACGTAGGAAGGTGTTGACTTCCAGGCTGGGGTCCTCGGGACGGTAAAAATCTATGGCTGGAAACAATTGGTGACATGGCTCAAAATCGTTCTCAGTGGCGCAGATGCATCCACTCCCTGTGACTTATGATCTTCAATGAAACTGTTTTGTATTTCCTTATTACTCCTTTGTCTCACACCTCTGCTCACTGTTTCTATTATGCTTTTCTTATACTTTCTTCTCTTGCTTCGCGTGCTACACGGAATGTGGCGACTTGAACTTCCGCCCATTTGTGCAAAGTTCTATGTCGAAAACAGACAGACAGAAGACAAAAACTATCCAGTGCTCCTTGGTTTTCAATGATCTCTAACTGATGTTGGCTCGTAACGGAAGCCACACTGAAATTTCTATGCTTATCTTATTCATTTCTTTGTATTTTGAGTGGAACAAAGGGCTTCAGACCTTAAAGTTTCAGTTCCACCTGTGGTAGAAGAGCGAACCCAGCACCCAAACTCCTATTCCTGAACTACTACCGTATATGCGAGGTTTAGAAGTGCGTTGGTTGGGAACAGAACCCAGACTGCGTGTGTGGTTAGTAGGTGTTCTACCCTGGAACCAACGATACATTCTTATCTATTAGAGTATTATTAATACCACAAAATAAAGATTAGTGCCATATTTTTTATTTATGTTTGTTGAATTTGAAAAATTCTCTAGGAACGTGCTGCATTCTATCAAAATCGTGCAGCAGCTAAAGAGAATCAACGCCAGTATGAATCAGCTATTGAAGATTGTTCTCTTGCATTGTCATTATCGCCGAATTATTTAAAGGCATTAAATCGTCGAGCACATTTATATGAAAAATTAGAAAAATGGGATGAATGCCTATTAGATGTTACAGCGTGTTGTATTTTTGAAAAATTCAAAAATGCTGTAAGTTATTGTAACTGATGATTAGTAATATTATGTATTCTGCTTTTGTAGTTTTGTGTTTAGATATATCTGAGGCGATTACTTTAGTCAATAAATTCATGTCAACCAGTTGAATTTCATTAAACATGGAAATATGGATCACTGGTGTAAGCAATCGACTTTCAGTTGAATGGAGTCCCGGATTCCAGTTCTGTTCCATCTACCTTATTCTTGGGCAACTGGGTAGTTTCATCAGCAGCCGTCACACAAGAAGTGTGGCTCTCAGCCTTGTACTTGGAAGACCTATTCCGAGTAATTGAATACTGACCAACAGGAAACCATGATTATGTAATTTGGACTTGTCAATAGTGAAAAGCAGTAACCAATTAAATTATCTGTCATGGTGGAGCTAACGCGCTGTGGTTCATTGATTTAAGCACTCAACATATAGATAATTGACGTAAGGTTCGAGTGTTACTTTATGTACTTAAGTCTGAATGGGCAACATCCTAGCCAGTGCAATACAACACAAGATAACTGAAATGTGCATTTTTTTATCGACACAGTGATTACCTTTCAGCTTATGTTTATAAAGTGTATTTTCGCTGACATGCCTCAGAAACGTTAAATCTTCATATTGCAGTAGATATAATTAAGTAGTCATTGACTGAGTTTTCAACTTAGAACTTTGAACAGAAGTACGACACTTCAATACAAAGATAGAGAAGAAAACGCAAAAGGTGGAAAAATACATGGAGGATAATGAGGATTCAATGGAACTGAGAGACTGTAAACAGCAAATGTATCTGCATCATTAAGAACAATCTTAAGTCATACCAGCACTAACAGTCTCTGCTTAGCGTCTTAAAGACCCAAACTAGACAGTTTACACCCCCCTATGTGGCTCATATCGACAGTTAGAGACATCATAAATTGATGTCAGGTTCTGATTTAACCACTCCCAGCTCTTTTCAAACCTAATATTAATTGTTATATATTTAAGCGGTACATTAATGAAAGTGAAAAATAGTTAAGATGGGTGAGAGTGGTGCTTGCAAATGGGTTAATTTGTAAGTTGTAAATTTGAAGGTTTCTTTTTGGTCAAACTGAAATCCCGTAAAGTGGGAAATAGGATGTAATGCAATTTCATCATGCATAACAGGCGATGAGTCATACCTATTGTGTGTGAGAGCCCGTATTACTACCTGGGTGCCCAAATCTTGGTAGGTTGTAACCTCCTGCTGTTTGGAAGTCGAGCGCCCAGACCAATGCACCACAGCTACTCAACGCTCACATGCATCGTTATGTACTACGTAATGAATTGCACCTATTCAACAACAGCCAATTATATACTGCCCGACCGCACCAAAAATTTAGTGGATCGATTAAAGTTCAATCTTGATTCTTGAGAGAATGTATAAATTTCCTTTGTACAAAATATCATGAAATGATTGCCGTGAATTATCTTAATTACTGTATCTTAAGGTAGTTGTTAACAAATTTTAATGAGCCTGCGAATTGAGACACAATAGAGTAAGTTTCGATACACTTTTAAAAAATTAATATAGATTAAAATCAATAATCGATTTAATTACTAATAAATGGTCATCTGTATTAATTAATTCATCTAAGGTCAAAGATATTAGGTTAAGAGGAGTGAAGTTCTCTCTTCTGTCATCGTCTGCAACTTAACTAATATGAGTCTTTTTTGTGTGGGTCGGTTATTCATTGGTAGAATGCACGCCGTATATTCAAGTTTTTTCATTGTGTTACGCCCATACCTTGAGTGCTCCTTTTAATTAACCTGCGAAAAGGATTCCATATATATATATAGTTTTTTCTCTCTCCACTTTCCATATCTCTGGTATAGGTGTTGTGTCATGCTGTTTGCACGTGTGTAGTATTGAATCGATAAACAAAGCTTCAGTGACTAACCTCTCTGTTTCCACCTAACTATATTACTTTTTAATACTCTCACACTGTCGCACTCTATTTTGTGATTACATGCAAGTGAATGCAGTTCAGTGACTGAGCTTTTTTCCAGGTTATTCAACTTAGCAGGGTCAATTATTTTAGGTCAAGCTAAATTTCTATGTTCCAATAATCTAGTTGACTCTGATCTACTAGTTTGACCTATTTAACTGATCTCACAGTCATTACATGGCATTTGATAAATTATATTATTTTTCTTAATTGGATCTATAGGGTTCTTAAGCCGAAAAGGTTTATCTTTGAGAGAGCTGGTTGGTTGGTTTAAATGCCACCCTAACTCCAGCGTCATTAAGAATTCTCCGTGAAGCCTCTGATGTCTCTTCTCAATACGGCAGTGGTTCAAAGGCTTTGTACTCTATGTTATTTTCTTCACTTTTATTGCTAGTCTTAGTTTTTCTATGGTTTTTTCATATATTTCTGAGTAAATTCTGCTGGGTAGTTAGTGATTAACTAGTAATATTTCCTCTATTTGTTTGATTTCGTTATTTAAATCTTCTGGTGTACTAGTTAGGCTCTTTGCCCGATTATAAAGACATTTTACTAAACCTATCTTTACCGACTCTGGATGGTATGAATCAAAGTTGAAATATGTACTAGTGTGTCGGTTTCCTATCTAACGATCGAGTTTTCGTTTTGTTCTACAGTCTAGCATGGCCAACTCACCCTGTTCATTTTCTAACTCAGAAGTGGATTGGATCCCGTCTCCTACTGAGTATCAGAAATTGAGGGATACATTCAGATTTCAACCCACTGATGGAGTGTGTCATCCACATATCTCCATGACGACCTGGGAGCCGGACTAAACATTCTAAGAGCCCTTATGTTCTCAACTATCCATTAATATATCTGCCGCTACTGAGGATATTGGTGATCCCATTGCCACCCCATTCGTTTGTTTATTTTGAAATTTGAATACAGTGGAGGTTAGGCATAACTGAACGCCTTATATTATTTCACCAACCGCGAGGATGTTCGTAAAGCCGTATCAGGCCTGCTTTTTACACCACACACCAGCATTATATACTCCATAATGTTATGCCTGAATGAATGTATTTATATTTATTTCCCTTTTCCTATGGCCTTTTTATATCATAGGATAATATCGTTTGTATGGACCAGATCCTAAAAAAAATTGGGCAGCAGAAAGCTCAAGAAGAGCGCGCTAAACTGTTACACGAGTTACCCTCAGCCTCATTTATCCGTAACTATTTAAGGTGAGAAAAAGCCTATAGTTTTTTAAATTATTTTGTGTTCATGTATTGTGAGGAAAAAGCCACAACAACATGTGAATGACATTATTACTGTCCAGTAGTCATATGTTTCTGTGTGTTTAGTAGACTGTAGGCGCTATTCTTTACAGTTTTAAAGTTAATCATACCAATTTTCATCTCAAACGTTGTATTTGAATGTGGTTAACCAACAACCGAGTCTTCGGCAGCAAGAAGCATGGTGTCGGCAAGATAGTCTGTGAGGCAGATGGTATGCCAACAAACAACCTGAAAAGACGCCTATAAACGACATTGACTTGCTGTGCGATAACATGCAGGCTGCCCAAACCTCATTTAATCAGTTGACGATCAGTGTCTGTAAGCATAGTATGTGCTTTGCTTCGTCTAAATAAAAATTATTGTTGCAGGATTCTCAGGAGCCTGTACCTGCACTCACCCTTGCAGGTGAACCGCTTGGAGTTGTCGTTAATGCGTGTATCTGGGTAGTTGTGTGAATGCTTGTGGAAGTGATGAAACCTCTAACTTTACGGTGATGGCGAGGGCGGCATACGCCAACTTAGACCAGCTCTGGCGGCGTCGTGACGTTAGTCAGGATGTTAAATGTCAGGTTTACAGTGTTTTTCAGTGCGCAAATTCTTGCTCTAGGCCTATAAAACATGGTTTCTCAGAGCTGAAGTTGTGCGATGACTTAGTTGTCGTTACCTCCGTAGAGTTGGTTGCTTCTGGGGTACGGTATCATGTGTTTGAGTGTGATGGAGATTGTTTCAATAAGTGTTGTCATTCTTGGACATGTGCCATGAATATCACGCCAGCAGCTCACACTGTCCTCTGTTTTTAACCCATGTTATTGGGTCAAAAACGGATAGGCGGTCAGCCCATGAGGTCATGCACTGGAATGGAGGACATTTATGTTAGGTTAGCATCTGTTGGTGCATCACAATTCCCTGGGTATGGTCCAAGATGTAATTTGAAAGAGTCGCTCGTGACGTCAACTATGTCAGAGAATCATAATCAATGACGAGATGCTTTCAGTTTCTTCCTTTCTTCCCTTTCTGAAAGTAACCTAAAGTAATGAATCATCCCTTGAGTGCGCTTGATAAGTATGCTCACTTGCTATATGGATGTCCCTTACCCATTCTATGACTTTTTTGTTGTTTCATTATTTTTTATGTGTTGCATCTATTGGTGCCCATATTATACCGAATTTATATTCAACTATATAAAACATTATTATCTGTAGTAACCAAATTCTAAAAAACAATTTCGTTATAATTCCGAAGGTACTATAATTGGTCGATTGATCATTGATAGCTTCTTCTTAAATTAACTTCTGTCTTGAGATATAAGTAACGGAAATTTTAACGAGGAGCTTTGACTTTAACAGTCGATTAAGTAAGGTTGTACAAGTAGCTTACGACATTGAATGTCGGTTACACTGAATGGAGAAATTATGAAAATGATGGAAAACCGTACACAAACAGTTTTCATGAACTAGTTTGATTTTTATTTGGTTGTGATGGCTGATCAATAGTAGAACTCAGGATATGTATTTTGTTCCATCTGGAGCTCATCAGTATTGATCATAGTGTATTGGTCATATCTTCACCGTTCGACAGATTCTAGAACATAGGCATTCCTACCGGCGTCCAACAATCATTATATTTCTTGACTTAAAGACGGCATTCGATTCTGTCGACCGAGAGGTTCTCTGGAGATGCTCGGCTGTAAAGGGAATGCCGAGAAAATACATTGCACTGATCAAGGCACTCTACTCGAACTCATACGGCCACGTGAGGGCTTACGACGAGTTGTCATCTAAAGTGGTGATGACTAGTGGTATTCGTCAGGGATGCCCATTATCCCCGTTTCTATTCAATTTCATCATAGATGTACTAATGGACTTAACCCTAACTGACATCAGAGACTCAGGGTTCGACTTGCTACCAGGGAATAATCTCGTTGACATAGAATATGCAGACGATATAGTCCTTCTAGGTGAGGACGCTGACAAAATGCAGAGTCTTCTAAACACCTTGAGCTGCAATCTACGAATGTTTGGCATGCGATTTGCTCCCACCAAATGTGAGATGATGTTACAGGACTGGACTACACCGACTCCTAGATAAGAAATAGGAAGTGAAGTGGTAGAGCACGTTGACCGTTTCACTTGTTTGGTAGTACTATTAGCCAGTGCAACGGGTTGATCTCTGACGAAATCTCTGAACGGATACAGAGGGCTAGTTTCGCATATGCCAGTTTACGCCGTCTCTCGTGTAGACGTGATATCTGACTGGCTATCGACCAAAGGGCGTGTGTACTGCTCAGCTGTCTGCTCCATCCTCCTTTATGGCTGTGGGACCTGACTATTGAGAGTGGAAGGCATGAAAAGACTAACTGTCTCTGATCATAGGTGCCTGCGTTCTATCTACATCTCGTGTGAAGTGTTATAATAGGGTGAGTAATATTGATTGAGGTGAGGCATCGAGTGCTAGATAAGGAGGGGAAATCAATCGACGAGGCTGTGAAATTACATCGACTGAGATGGTTAGGACATGTGTTATGTGTTCCTATTCATCGCCTTCCTCGATGGGCAACGTTAGCTGACATAGGGACAGGCTGGAAAAGAGCCAACTGAGGTCAAACCGAACCAGTCAATGAAATCCACAACAGTTAGTTTAAGCCACGTAGGAAGGTGTAGACTTCCTGGTTGGGGTCCTCAAAAGCGTAAAAACCAATGGTTGGAAACAATTGATGATATGGCTCAAAATCGTTCTCAATGACTGGCGCAGATGCATCCACTCCTTGTGACTTATGATTTCCAATGAAACTGTATTGTTCTTCGTTATTACTATTCCTTTGTCTCACACCTCTCTTTACTGTCTCTATTATGCATTTCTTCTACTTTCTTCTCTTGCTTTGTGTGCTACATGCAGGGAGTGTGGTGACCTGAACTGCTGCACATTTGTGCAAAGTTCTATGTCGAAAACAGACAGCCAGACACGGGCTCATCAGTAGAGTTTTCCTGTTCCCCAGTTAGTAGTAGTATACACTGAGACTCAAATCCAGTACCCATTGCTATAAATGCTGTAGCATTATCCACTGGACTTTCAAATATTGTCGAAACACGTCTATAGCACAAGCCAATATCTCAGCATAGATTGAGCATTTCAGTTCAATAGAAGTCAATCAGCGGGGAACGAACACATTTGCAGGATAATATACGAATTCCTGTCAATTACATACAACCTAAACAGCATCAAAATATATGTAACAGGAATCCACCGAGTAAAAAAGGTCGACTGGTATTCACTACCTATCCCGCAAATGTGTGATCGTTCTTTCTCTGTTCAGAGTAATCAGAGTAACCAGTCGTATGAAACAAATTAACTTGAACAATTGATTAGTTTTCCTATTAGTTTAGTGAATTGATAAATGGATAGTTTAGCTTTGATCGGTGATCTGTAAATATGTATGCGACGTCAACTTTCTCTAAGATGCCATAATAATAATATCTTGTTATATGATTCTAATTGTTTGTTATGTTGGTCAATTGTAGTAGAGTCCTGTGGTTCTAGACTATGTGATTGATTGATTGATTGATTGACTAGTTAGTGTTCCATTCACATAATACTCGTGATTACTCGTGTACGATGTATATTTTTAATTTAAAAAAAGATAGTATGATGTGACTCAGTTCTCCAATACTATTTTGGTATTTACTAGGTTACTATTAGTTATAATATGTTTGTGTATGGTTGCTTATGATACTAGTTGGTTGTTTAGGCTGGAGTAAGTGGAACGCCAGGTGAAATATCTGCATAAGTTGACTCATCTTTTGACAAAGCAATAAGATGATGTAATCTATCTGGATGATATCATATAATGCTCAAAACATTTCGAACAATCTAATCACCTACGCACATGCAGTTGTCGTAGAAATTTATATGAAAATAATAGTGTTAAGGGAGACATAGGCAAACCAAGTTAAAAGGTCATATATGAAGGTCAGTATAACAAAGAACATCAGTAAACTAAAGCTGTTGGCAGGGATTATAGTACAGCTATCTTCATATCGAAACAATTTACCAAGGAATGTGTATTTGCGATGACACATTGTTTTTGCGACACAAAGTTGGTTTAAACTTCTTAATCACCTAAAAATTTCACAAACTTTAGGCTACGCCCTAAACACATTTCGTAGTTAGGTTTAGAAGAAGTGTAACCACCAATTTTATGCCTTATTTCTATAATATGTTTCGCAATTGGAAGAGCCAGTTTGTTTGTTTTCACCATGAATGTGTTCAGGGAACTCAGTCTACTTCTGAAACACTTACTTGTAGAGATCGATGATTCCTTTCTGTGTGTAAGCACATGTACATTTAAACTAATAGATACAATGGAGCATGACAACATTTTTCGTATGTTCTAAGGGTTTCAATGGATATATAGGTCTTATATTCCCAATTATTGGGATCTTAGTCTTTCTGGCCACAGCGTTCAACCTGTCCAATTTCCTTCCAGCACACAGGTCATCGACCTTTGATCGCGTTAGTCCTAGTGAACATACCCGTGCTCGAACTCAATTTCCTGGAGCAAATGTTTAAGCTACCAAACGCCAAGAACTACACCTACCATGTAAGAGGGTTGGTGATACTACCCAGTTGCCTAGCCAGACTGAAGTAGATGTGGAGAGAAACTTAAACCTGTGACTATTGCAAGCCGAGCTCTTAAGCCAATGGAACATATGAATCCCAGGGTTGAATGCTTCTCATAGCCAGATACGTAGAAGAAATTTGTTCTGAGTAACTGGGTCCTTACTGAAATTGTCCTATTCCTGCTTGCACTGAAATTGCTAATTCGAAAAAACCTGTAGCTCCACATACTTGTCACATCAGTCAAATTCCCCACACGAGAATTTCTATGGTCTTATTGACCTGAAGAACTTAAGAATCACGTATACATGGAAGCGGACCGATGATCAGGAAAATTTTGTCTGCCTTACGAAAGCGTACGAGTGGTTGTTACTTGCCGGCCATTCACACTACGGAAGTTGATTTCTTCTCGGAATACCTGAAACGGAAGGAGTATTAGTGGTGCGTGATCACAGAGACAAGGTATCAACTGCCCAACACCGGTCACATACGGTCTGTTCAAGTTAATTTTTGAAGTTGTATGCATACGAAAATCTTACCTTTGACTACGGGCCGCCGTGACGTGAGTCGGGACAAACAGTTTTGGGAGTCGACTTTTTCTAACGCCCACTCTGCGGAGTAGAGAGGAATCATAACTGATCGTATGAGGCAAGCACCTCATTGCTGTTACACCCATATTCGCCAGCAGTACTATTTCGCTCACAGACTCCTAACATAGTGTAAACTAATTACACTATGGCAGTAAATACCGTTAGTGTAGCTGCTTTCTAAATAACTTTCCTGGGATGATAGGACCTGCAGAGACATTAGATCTAGTTAGTTTGACTTTTCGGATCATAGGAATATACAAGCACGGCAATGTATCAGCTATCCATATGGATGTATATACGGTAATATTAGGTAAACAGTAAGCCCAGTTACTGAAATACTATTCACTTTTATTTGTTCTGAGGTTGAAGTTGACCTTTTCCCGCCACATCTCACACAGTGCATCTTCTCCTTTTTGTATGAAGTTTTTCTAATTTCTTTTTCCTTGTTCTTCTGTCCCATATTTTTTCTAATATAGCGCTTTTGCATGTAATCCATTCGTTGCTATAAATCCACAAGTATGTAAAAAAAGTTCCAGATCTGAAAGTACAACTAACGGTACAACAGCTACCGATGAGCATGTTTCATCAGATAGTTCAATTATTATTAATGATAATAATTTATACGATCCATTAAATTATAAAGAACCTGTTCAATCAGCTCTTAAAACGTTAAACGCATCGTTGGATTATATGTCTAAAGGTGAATATGCTCAATCAGCTGAATATGTTATGAAAGCTGTTTCATTATTTGAATCTGTAAGTTGTGTAAATGTATATTTTATTATTATTACTACTTGTTATTCATTCCAAGTGGAATATATATGGCCTCAGTGATATATCTCCGATGCACTCACTTGTCTGACATTACTCTACTACTACTATCCACAAGCTTTCATATCTCACTTGAAATGATTTCATTGTCAACCATGGACACCTAAAAACACGTCACTTTCCATGCGGGTTCTACTGGAGGGCCTGGTTTGTGATGATTGATACCACTTCAAGGTCTCTTTAGTGTATGTTAAATCCACCTCCAGTTCCTTCTGTATATTTGTTGGTTGGTTGGTTTGCTACCTGCCGAAGTTCCTTGCTGCTTATCCTTTCTCATCTTTTGATCTTCAATACCGAGCATAGACGACAAGTGTTGATGAAAGTCTACAACAGCCAGTTAGGAGAAAGCTGCTACCTTGACGTGGTGGTCGGGCTTGAACACCGCAATGATCTGTTCAAGCTATACTGGCTGAGACTTATGTCTCTTGAGGTTCTACCATGCCAGAAAGGTTGTTTGGATAGCGGTTAAACAAAAAGCAGCTACCCAATCCAACATCATGACCAATACAAAATCACAAAATTTCATGCCGGATCGGCCGTGGCCCGGATTAACAACGACCGCGCTTCCTGCTGCCGTGTCACAGGGCAGGAGTGATAAATATGCTACTGAGACACACCAAACAATAAAGAACGAACAAAAACAGGCCGCGTGTGACAGGCCTCAAGCAGTTGTCCCCTGGGCTCTGCGGTCACGCAACCAACTTCCACGGTGTGGGCAGCCGGGAAGTAACAATCGCCCTCACAATCCGAAACGCACGCGAAACCTCTCTATTACTCACTCATCTTTGTTTTCATCTTCATCTCTATCATCTTGCCTTCCTTCCACTGACGCAACTCCTCGACTTGATAGCTCTCCACTCTGCGTCCACTAAAAACGATGGAAGCCAAAAAACCACCACCGACAGCCTCCTAAAGCCGCGCCACCAATTTCATATAGGAGCTCTTAATGTTAGGACACTTTGCCAAATAGGACAACAAGCATCACTAGCCAAGACCCTGGCATCACGAGCCATTGATGTATGCTGTGTTTCAGAAACACTCATACGAGACCCAAGTGTGGTTATTCACCTAACCCCACCTGGCCAACAGGTTGAATCTGCAAAATTCACCTTGAGGGTGTCAGGAGATGCCACAGCTAGTTCACGAGGATTAGCTGGCGTAGGGATAGCTTTGAGTACTAGGGCAGAAAAGACATTACTTGACTGGATCCCGGTAGATAGCCGAATGTGTGCTGTCCGTCTGAACGGGTCAGTAAAAAGGAGAAAGGACTGCACTACTCGCCGATGCCTTTTCGAGGTTAGGCAACACCAGGCAACTGTGTAGACTCATCAGGGAAACGGGTGGGAGAAGACAAATCATTAGTGAAACAATCTCGGAAAAAAGTGGCACTATAATTAGCTCCCAGGATAGACGACTGGATCGTTGGAAAGAGCATTATGAGGAGCAGTTTAATTGGCCCACAGCCACGCTCAACCTTCCGAGCACCGAACACCTCCCTGAATGGGATATAGACACAGGTCCTCCATCCCTAACTGAGGTTACTAAAGCTGTCACCAATCTGAAACTAGGCAAAGCAGCGGGACCTGATGGAATGACTCCAGAGGTATTTAAGTACGGTGGAGACAGCTTACTGTGTGCATTAACTAAGGTTCTAAGCAGCGTCTGGGAATCAGAAGAAGTCCCATCGGGTTGGTGTAAGTCACTGATTATCCCCATATACAAGAAGGGAGACAAGTCTTCCTGTGATAATCACAGAGGGATTAGCTTGACTAATATAGTATCTAAAGTCTTAGGCTCAATAATCATGCGTAGACTGAGTGGTGCTCGGGAAGCACAAACACGAGAGAGCCAGGCAGGCTTTAGACCAGGAAGAGGGTGTATTGATCATATCTTCATCCTCCGACAGATTCTAGAACACAGGCATTCCTACCGGCGTCCAACAGTCATTATATTTCTTGACCTAAAGGCAGCATTCGACTCTGTCGATCGAGAAGTTCTCTGGAGATGCTTGGCTGTAAAGGGAGTGCTGAGAAAATACATTGCACTGATTAAGGCACTCTACTCGTACTCATACAGCCAGGTGAGGGCTTACGGCGAGCTGCCATCTGTACTGATGACGACTAGTGGTATTCGTCAGGGATGCCCATTATCCCCGTTTCTATTCAATTTCATCATAGATGTGTTAATGGACTTAACCCTAAGTGACTTCAGCGACTCAGGGATTGACTTGCTACCGGGGAATAATCTCGTTGACTTGGAATATGCAGACGATATAGTCCTTCTAGGTGAAGACGCTGACAAAATGCAGAGTCTTCTAAACACCTTGAGCTGCAATCTACGAATGTTTGGCATGCGATTCGCTCGTTTCGCAACTGTTAGTTTACGCCGACTCTGGCGTAGACGAGATGTTCGACTATCGACCAAAGGGCGGGTGCACTGCTCATCAGTCCGCTCCGTCCTCCTCTATGGCTGTGAGACCTGGCCACTGAGAGTGGAAGACATGAAAAGACTAGCTGTCTTTCATCATAGGTGCCTGCGTTCTATTTCCCGTGTAAAGTGGCATAATAAGGTGAGCAACATGGAGGTTAGGCGTAGAGTTCTAGGTAAAGAGGGGAAATCAATCGACGAAGTCTTGAAGTTACAAAGACTGAGATGGTTAGGACATGTGTTACGTATGCCAAGCCATCGCCTCCCTCGACGAGCAACGTTAGTGGATATAGGGTCAGGCTGGAAAAAAGCTAGCGGCGGTCAAACAAAAACTTGGCACCAGTCAATGAAATCCACAACAGTTGGTCTAAGCCACGTAGGAAGGTGTTGACTTCCAGGCTGGGGTCCTCGGGACGGTAAAAATCTATGGCTGGAAACAATTGGTGACATGGCTCAAAACCGTTCTCAGTGGCGCAGATGCATCCACTCCCTGTGACTTATGATCTTCAATGAAACTGTTTTGTATTTCCTTATTACTCCTTTGTCTCACACCTCTGCTCACTGTTTCTATTATGCTTTTCTTATACTTTCTTCTCTTGCTTCGCGTGCTACACGGAATGTGACGACTTGAACTTCCGCCCATTTGTGCAAAGTTCTATGTCGAAAACAGACAGACAGACAGTTAGGAGAAATACTTTTTGTGACAGGCTAAGTCTGTGGACCATATAGAAGCATTGACTAACTTGATATATGTGTTAGGAACGTTGATATTGATATCCTCGTGCTAAGTGATGTGGATCTTCACATCCGTTTTCAGTGTTGACCAACAGTCTTCTCTTTGAGATCCCGGCTGACTTTTATATCCTCCTCCAGGTCACCTGTAGTTGAGGAGATGCCTTCCTTTTTGTTCCTCTCATTGATAATGAGTAAAGTATTAGTTGTTGATCAGTTTTCTTCATCATCTTTGTCCTATGTATGTTCATCTGAAGTTCTTTCCTTGCACAACTCAGAGATCATCCATGAAATCTAGATCTTAATTCCTCTTGCATGTCCAGCATATAAGCTTGATGACACTATCCAGTTGCTCAGGTTAAAACAGATGTTTTTGACTTCAAACATGTGACCTTTTGACTGAAAGGTTATTACGTAATGGTTGCAAGGAATTTCTAGCATTTCAATGACAAACTGATTACATCTCACAGTCGTCATAATTGATTTTAGATTATATTGCCAAAATCCCCCAACAATTTCAGTTTAAAATATTTAGTGGAACTGTAGCCACAGTATGATTCAGATGGAACAGTGAGTAACTTTATGAATCAGCATCAGCTTTTAGTTTTGATCGTCTCGAACTTTTTTAATCTTAGTTCTATTTTACAGTGATAGTGAACATTTTTGAAAGGTAATGCCTTAGAATATACAATTACACAATTCACTGACATCTTAACACCAGAACTATTAAAAGAAATCCGAATGAGTACTAACATCCCCACTCAATTGTAGTATGTGAATATTATGTGCGTATTAAAACTGTTTTATTTCCGTATACGGTTGACAATAAACTGACAGAACAGAACGATGATATCAAGTTTCATCGTTGATTGAAATCAGTTGGAGAACCATTGAAACTGGCGCTGGGAAGTAGACGACTACTTCGTCCCAATGTGGGACTCTTCATCAGCATGCGCCACTAACTCACCCCACCGAGTATCAAACACTGGATTATGGGGAAAACTCGTATATCATTCAGCCACTGGGACGGAATCCAGTAGCTGGCCCATGAGTTCTAACTTGTGTCAGTTCCTGATATTTATCGCCAATGCCATCAGCGAGTGTCTGTCCTCATACCCCTGACCTATTGAAACCCATTGGTCACAATTTCTCTCACTGGAACTCAAGTCCACTTCGTCCTGTATTCAGCCACTAGTGAGCATCAGATTAATTTCCAGCGTCAGTTTTTAGCTTTTTGATTGGTTTCAAGTTTGATTACGGATTAAAACAAATCAAAGGCCCCGAGAACTAACACTTGAGAATAATGATATCCTATCTCGCTCAGTAGTAGTTAATTAGAACTTTGTTTTGTAAGATAGATTTCTCATGTACCAAGCTCTAAAAAGTGACAATGATATCCAGACATCCGGTTATCAACCAAGGGACGTGTGTACTGCTCATCAGTTCGCTCCGTCCTTCTCTATGGCTCTGAAACATGGCCAATACGCGTTGAAGACATGAAAAGGTTGACTGCTTTCGATCATAGATGTCTGCGATCTCTGTCTCACGTTAGGTGGTATAATAAGGTAAGTAATGTTGACGTTAGGCGTAGAGTGTTGGGCAAAGAGGGAAAATCAATCGACGAGGTTATAAAGTTACATAGACTAAGATGGCTAGGTCACGTGGTGCGCATGCCTAACCACCGCCTCCCCCGACGGGCATTGTTAGCTGATATAGGTTCAGGTTGGAAAAGAGCCAGTGGTGGCCAAACAAAAACATGGCCTCATCAATCCATGAAATCCTTGACAGTTAAACTGAGTCAGGTAGGGAGATGCAGACTTCCGGGTTGGGGCCCTCGGGACTCTAGGAATCAATGGCTGGAGACAATAGGTGACATGGCTCAAAATCGTTGTCAATGGCGCAGATGTATTCAATCTCTGTAATCTTTCATATTCCTTTCTACCATTACCCATTCTGTTTCACTCTTATATTTGTCAAACTCTATTAATTCTCTTCACTCATCTTCTTGTCTACCTCTGTGTGCTATTTGGAAGGTGGCAACTCGAACTGCTGCACTTCGGTGCCAAGTTCTATGTTGAATCCAGACAGACAGACAGACAGACACCCAGGATTGAATTAACGAGAGTAAGATTTGAAACCTGAGACTAACCAGATCAAGATCTCTATCTCTTTCTCTGTCGCTCAGCATTTTCACGATTATATGCATATATATTTTGATTAACCTTCAAATCTTGTTATTATTATATATTTCGTAGGTCCTGTCTGAAAAGTCATTTGATAGTGATGCCAAAGATTATCTGATCTCTCCGGTGGGTGATAAAAGGGACTCATTGAATCATGATCTAATAAAACCTGGCAACGGTGATGATGATGTTTCTCGGAAAACAAATGGTCATGACGAAAACAGCAACACCGAGGAGGAAAATAATACTGTCACGAAGCCTGGGACACCACTAGCCACAAACCCCGATGGTAATACCATTACCTGTACTAGTGATACGGAGACTAGTGAATCTGTAAAAGCGCATATTAAAGAAGTATACAATCAAGCCTTATTATTACATGCAACTTATCAAGCATTAGCTGGTCGATCTGAAGAGGCAAAAGAACGCTTTCAAACTATTGGTGCTAGTGATTCAGGCGCTTCGTTGTTAGTTCGTGTGAATGCATTAATTAAGTGCGCTTGCTTATCAATGTCTGTTGATCAGGTAAATTGAAAACATACAAAACGACAAATGTTTCCCATTTTCGTTTGCAGATGTTTATTTTTTTTTCAACAGGTGTATTGGTGAGATTGTCTGAGATAGAGTCTTGGTTTGCCAAAGTGGAATTGTAGCTGATTGATGTAGCCTCTCGGCTTCCAACCGGGTAGGTGGTCATTGGTATGAAACCCGCTCCACCTACCATCGAGATTTGGGCAGCCAGGTAGTATAATCAGCCCTCACATACAATAGGTGTGGCTCTTCGCTTGCTGTTCATGAAATTAAAGTTGATCGCTAAAGTACATTTCACATTATTTTTCATAGCTTTCTAGACCGTTGCTGGTTTTGTAAGTGATGATTGATAGGGGGGAAGTGAAAATCTGGGTCACTGTGTCATTCGGAACATGGGTAGTCTAGAAACCACTATTTTTCCTTCGTACTGTAGTTGCTGAGATATGACACCCAACTGCTGCTCAGGTCATCGTTCCATCGCAAAAAGCATTATGCTTAATGTCCAGCTGTCATATACGAATGAGTCGTATGCTGCTCCCTGTTCGTATTGATTTTCCCGACAGTAATACTGTGAAATAACTTATATCCTTGACCTTTCACTTTTACTAGTATAAGGGAATGTAGGCTGGAAAACTTGAATTCGTTCTAATGGTGCTCACTGTTTCATTAATCTCTTTTAATTTATTCATTTTCTATCATCGTTATTTTATACTTCTGTTCGCTTCGTCTTTGTGTACTACCTAGAAGTGGGATAACTTGAGCTTTTGTACTATTTTGCAATTTTCTGTCTTAATCTACCCGTTTTGACGTTTTATATTGCTATTTGAGTGATTGAAAAACGTAAAGTCTTGAAATCAATGAACACAGGTGTTCTGTGAATGATAAAGGGGTGGTATTCTCATGTGGAAACTTATGCAGTGTGAATCTTCTAGGTAAGTCCTACTTCACCGCTTTCATGAAGTAACGGTATTCTTCAAAAAAGTGAAAAGGCGAATTCAATCGCCAAGCGCTTACAACCGGACTGATTGACAAACTATTCTACCTAGGGAAACTAGAAAACCCTGATTCCAAACTTTTGGTGTACGTGAGCTCAAGAATCCAGAAGGATCGGATGGCCAACGAAACTGTTTTGCTTACCGAAAACCATAGAAACGTAGCTCTTGACACTGCTCTACTGTCTTGTAAGATCAGAATTTAAGTCTAAAGCACGGAAGAAGGAGATGGTTTGCCTCTTAAGACAGCCAATTGCTTCAGCCTGGACATCCGGCTGACCGTCGCACCAACCATGAGATTTTGTGTAATGCATTTGCTGGTAAATATGGTAAATATTAAATAAATAAATAAATTATGATATCCCAAGTTTGTGTTTGAATTATATATATGTGTATATATGCAATGTAAGACACGAAGAACTACTACTACCTTCTATTGTGCATCTTGTTCTACCTGTCAAAATGAACATACTCAACGTTTTTTTTCAATATGTGTGATCTGCTTAAATCACACGTGAGAACTATCTGAATTTCCATCTAGCATAATATATCAACTTTTCTTATTGTTTTGACCGCGTGAATTTCGTCTTTGGACGGCAGCATGTACTACTGTGGTGAGAGCTGGCTGCTAGCCAAATTGGTAGACAGTAATTTACGTCAATGTTTACGTCCCCAATATTGGTCGTGAGAAAAATAAGAACAAAGACTGATTCAACAACCAACCACACCAGACTTTGCGTAGGTGGATACAATTTGCAGATAGATAATCTGGCCACAATTCTAAATTGTTTTTCAGCCAACAAGTCATGGGTTTCAATCCTGTGCCCCGCCTACTTTAACCTGGCAGAGCAACTGTTTGGTATCATCAGCTCTCACACGTATTATATTTGACACGTTGTCTGTTATATGAGATATCTGTCTGGATAATTGAATCTCGGTAAGTAAGTAGGTCGGTAGGCAGGTGGGGTTCAAATCAGTGGTCCAGTCAGTAGTTAGAAGTTGACAGCCTAGACCAATGAGTAAACCATACATCCACATAAGTTTTAATAATTATTCCATCATAGGCTTCAGTTAACTGCATCATTCATTCACACAGTGTAAACTGACTTGACTATCTCAATACTATGTAACCCTCTGATATGTATTCGTATGATGTGTGTCTTGTTTTTGACAGTCTGATATATTTTGCTGTGTATATTGATCGATATTCCATTATAACTCACAATATGCTTTTATCTGTCCATTAAGTGAATAAACAATTTATGATCTTTTTGTCACATGACATTACAACCAATCAGAATCCAGTGTTGGTAAGGAAAAGTACTATCTGTCTTATTGGTTCATGTGTGTTAGTTATTTTCATATATACTCTTGTATCATACACTTATATATACACTCTTTCACACCTTTCGTACACTACGTACCCTTTCACTCATACACTTGTGTGACAGTCCATTTCCCTTGTTGGAAAATACACATAGCATCGTGAACGTGGTGACCTTCTGATTCTGCCCTTTTGGCGTCAGGACAATTAACTACTCAGCAGTACATAACATTTATTGGCAACGGAACCATAACACCCTCATACTCCTATCTGTAAAATATGCGAGATACTATCTTTTTTTTTGTAAAAATTTTTGTCTTACTTGATATGCCAATGAAATTATTATTGTGTCGTTTTCCTCCCATTATATGTTTATGTTTCTTTCCCTCCTCTCTCGCATATTTAGGATGTTGCTGCATGCCTGTATGACTTTCAACGTGCACAAAGTGCTTGGTCTGAATGTCCAGATGTTTACTTACATCGTGGTCAAATCAATCTGTTATCTGATCAATTAGATGAAGCTTTGCATGACTTGAATATGGCTGTGAAATTGAAACCAGAGTTTTCAGTTGCTCAGGTTAGTTTATTCACGTTTTTTTTGGTCTAGTAATATATTCAAGTGTTTTATGATCGTTTGTTTTGTATGGACAAGAATCAGATAATTGCTTTCAGTCGTATCACACATTTTGTGATGATATATACCACATTTATTATAAACTTGATCGATTAATGTGAATCAGCATTTGCGACTAAGCAATATCACAATTAACGTAAGGAGTAAGTGTTTAATGATACAATATAGTGAGTAATTTTGAGGTCAGGAGGAGAGAGTAGTGGGTAAGGAGAGGAAAGGTCAGTCGATACAATTGTGAAGCTATATCGATTAAGATGGTTAAGATAAATATTGTGCGTAAGCAGTCATCACCTCCCTCGACAAACAATGTTAGCCAATATGGGATTAGAAGAAGAGGTGGTCAAACCAGAAGTTGGCATCAGTCTACGATAGTTAGTTTGAGCCACTTTAGAATATGTAGGCTGCCTGATTGAGGTCCTCGGGATGGAGATGTGTCGAAATCGTTGTTATTGGCTACTATCCACTAACCCTTTGTGATCTGCCACAAGCATTAAACCCTAATATTTTGCTATGCTACTATTCTTTCCCTCACATTTCCGTCCATTAAGATAATTTCGAGTCCCTTCTCTTTCTTGTCTACCTTTGTGTGTGGAATGTAGCAAATTGAACTGGTGACTTTCTGTGCTAAGTTCTGTGTTGAAACTCAGCCAGTAAGCAATAAGTTCTGCAGAATTTTTGGAAACTAAGGAGCAGCTGGACAGGTTGTTTGTCCCTGGTTTAAGACTTCGACAGTGCACATCTGCCTAGGATCAGACTCCTTGACCTTGAGGTTATGTGATGAGCTCATTGACTGATCGTTTAGCCGCTTGGTTGAAGTCGTATGACATTAGTAATATATGTCATTATTTGCTTTAGTATTACGGTTGAGGAGCTAAGCAATATTATTAATATCAGCGTTGAACACAATTCGCTAGGATTCATTAACCAAATACTAAGTTGTATAGTTATTTAATTTGAACTTGCGTTCGCCATAGCTCCTGTGCGTGTAGACAGGGTCGCTTGATCTTGTTAATTCTGTTTACTTTTATCATCGACGATACTGTGTAGACACCTTAGAAAGATATGAAGGATGTTGGTGTTTGATCTGTTGTCTGTATAAGAACTTCGATTTCTCTGACGATGTCGCCTTGCTGTTTGCCATCATACAGGACCCCTTAAATCGCACTTAATCAGTTTGAGATCAGTGTGTAAATATGGTATGTTCTTTGTGCCAAGTGCAAATTGCTGTTGCAAGATTGGCAGAAGCCTGTAACTTTACTCTCACCCTCGCTATTCAACCGCCGGAATTAGTTGATATAAGCTCGTGTACCTAAGTAGTTGTGTAAGTGCTCGAGGTGTGATAGATAAATCTCTAACCGTAGAGTGGGGAGCAAGAGTGGCATGCGCCAACCAGACCCTCCTCTGGCACCGTCACGATGTCAATGTTCGTATCAAAGATTTAGTTTACAGTGAGGACTTTGATCGTAATGTGAAAGTCAGGATGGCACACACAAACCTGAGAAACCCTGTAGTTTCGTCGTACCTTCAGTCTCAGCTGTCGTATGTCAAGCTTACAGGCACTTCAGTGGGTGAAAGTCTTCTTCTGTACGTGCGTTAGCTGACAGTGTGGACACAACTCTGTGTTCGATCACTGCAGTATCCCTGTAATTGCTTTCATCCTCATTTAAGTAAATCTGAGACTTGACATCATGTGTTTAACAAGGTGGTTATTTGATTTCGGTATATACCGTCATCTTCGGACACCGACTTCAGTGACGGAAACATGCACTATGAATGTTCATCTCAGTCGCACCCATACCGATCACCGTGAAAATAGGTGGAAAAAACCATGAGGTGGTCAGCTAATGGCGTGGTACTGTGGGATGAAGGATACTTGTGTTTGGCTGACATCTCTTGATGCATCACGACACTCTGACTGTTATCCGTGAGATCTTCCGAATCAGTTGCTCATGCCATCATTATTAGATAAGGTCAAAAATCTTAATCAATAGCGAACATGATGCGATCCCTCCTTTTTTCTCCCTCTGAAAGTAACATGAATTGGTGAATTATCCTTTGAATGTGCTTGATAAGAATGTTTACTTGTCCCCCATGATTGTACTCGTCAGTTAGTCTGTTTCTGTTTCCTTCATATTGTTATGTTGTTTTCGTGTGACCTCCACTTTCTGGTACCAATAGTCGGACAAGTTTGAGTTAGTATGCAAAATAGTAACACCTTTTTTCGCCCTTTGTGTCCCGAGTTTTAGTTCCCAGCTTCACGTTCAATCTCTCCTCTTGGATTATCGTCGCATAGCCACCAAGGTTGAGGAGAGTAAATTGGCTCTGGGTGTCGGTCCGGGATCTCCCACATAAACTGGTGAATATTCTACTATTGAACCACTGACGCACACAGTTATGTCCTCATTTCATACTCTAATCATAACACAAAATCATAATTCTCTAATATTTATTATTACCGTTAATATTTTTTGTTTACCGTGTATAATAGGCTCAACGGTTGTATACCCTGTATCGATGTGCATTGAGTTCTGGAGATATGAGTAAAGTGAATTCTCGTGTAGATGAATTTCGCCGATTAGTGAAAAAGTATCCCAGTTGCCTTGAAACTCATTCATTATTTGCTCAGGTGAGTAAGACAGTGTTGTGTTTTTCGAACAGTATATCATATAAATAAGCATTGCGTATACACATTCCCTGAAGTTTAGAAGTTTGAAAGCTGAATTATTTTCATAGTTTGTTAGTAAAGATGCAGTTATCCGGAATAACTTTTTTATACCCTAGGCTAGGAAGCCACACATTCTAGCATAGTTGAAATGATATATACTATAGACGTCGCCCAGTCCCAGGCTAGAGTAAGTTGGGTTGGGACTCGAATCCAAGACGTGTAAATAAATATCGAGTGCTTTAGACAATGAGCCATATTATCAGAAGTAAGACAGATCACTTGAGTATGATGGATCTCAGAAAAATGTTGTGTCTATGTCGTGTTGAATTATTACAACAGACTATCACTAAAGTCTCGATGTTATTAATGATACTGGCCTGATTTGATTAGGCACTTGACTTCCAACCATTGTGTTAGAGATGTGGCGTTTTGATAGCCAAATAGTATCAGCAGGGGTTTACTGACCACCCCATTAAATATGCATGTATAGTTGTTGTGTAACATCCTGAATATTGGTGAAGTCTATTATTGAGACAGGTATGTTAATTAGGTGGTGAATTCCTATGATTTGCGTTTGTTCTCGGTTGATTCGAAAAACGAAATTACATCCTCAAAGACACACCAATGTTTACATATACGCTGTAGTTTTACAAGAGGGAAATCAGGAGTCCGAATAGACCAGTTGTGACGTCTCTGACTGCATAGTAGCATGGGATAGAATCTCGTAGGGAGGGGGGGGCAACGGATCATGCTAGGTTTTAGAGACTCCTTGTTGACAAGTGGATAATAGCACGATGTCTGGGTTCCGAGTTCCCTTTGGATCGCCTTCAAACGTTTGATATCAGTCTAAAGTGCACCACGATGGCTGGTTTTCGAACTTGTTGGTCAATTGCGAATTTCAGCCCTAAAGGCTTAAATAATATAGCAGTGACTGATCACAGTGAACTATCAACGTAAAGTTTCTCCTATTATTTGGTCCAGCAACATTCCACTAAGTTGTATCGTTAATCATTGAGACAATGTTTTGCATCAGAGTATGGCTTATCGACCTAGACAACCAGCCAGTTTGGCTTAGGAAAACCTTTCCATCTACTTAAGGTGAGAAAGCTGAGGAGTATCGCCATCTGTACCATAATAAATGTGATACCTAATAAAGTGCATGACCTTGCATATATTCGACTGCGTTTAGTCCTGTGTTATGTTGTATAGATTTTTCAAGTTAATTGAGCCCAAGTAACTCATTGGTAACATCTCTAACTTCAGTAGTGAGTAATTTGGGTTGGAATCTCACAGAGAACATCAGTTCTTTCTATCAGATATGCTTCAGTGACAAGCGTCAGCAAGTGCGGAATTTAAGTCGATCTGTTTCAATAATCCAGTTGTCTTGTCTGTTTTCTACCCGTTATATTTTCTAATTTAATTCGTATTTTTTTAATGTCTACTAATAATTTATTTTAACAGATTTTGACAGAACGTGGTGAATTCGCTGAAAGTGATAAAGTTTTTGCTGATCTGATCTCTCTTGCACCAGATTCAGGCTTGGCCTATGCTCATCGTGGTCTGTTACAACTTCGATGGAAACAAGATCGTGATGGAGCATATCGCTTCTTTTTAGAAGGTACTAAAAGAGACCCAAAGTGCGAATTAATCCATGAGCTACTGGGTCAGTTGGCTGTTGAAAAAGGTCAATTCAATGAAGCGCTGAAACATTTTGATATTGCTGTTAAACAGGCTAAAACACAAAATGATTTAGCTCATTTAGTTGCCTTACGTGAAGGTGTCAATGCTCAATTGAAAGTATGCGAAAAATATAAAATATCTATACCAGATGTAGTTGCCAGTATACAACAAGAACAACAAAGATTTCTAATGGGTATGCAAGGTGGGAGTGTATAAAGAAGAGAAAAAAATAAACAAAGACTGTCGTTACTCTCCTTTTTTGTTATTTTAAACTCCTCATATTGTTGTTGGTTGCTTATTTGTTTCTAGGCCCTTTTTCCATTTTCGTCTTTTCTCTCAAATTCGGTTTGTGTTTGTAGAAAAAAAGGAAAAAAGACAATCATTCCATTACAGTATGTTTCCTCTGTACGGTGGTCTGTCTCTCTGAGAGTCTTATTTCTTCGCCTAATTTGTTCATCCTGTTCCACATGATTTCATTATGTTCTACCATCATCTCATTTTTAAGTATATTTATCATCGAATACTCGAAGCCAAAACAAGCGAAACCCAGGGAAGTATTCATTCAACCGCAGGAGCAGCAGTATTAACTGTTGGCGCTTATTACCCTAGTATGTCATCCATGTGTACAGCGTGCGCGTGTGTGTGTTGACGGTTGTGTATTTCACTTCTTATCTCATTCTCTGTGTTCTTCCGTCTTACAGTCATGTAATATTCACTTGAATCTTTTTTAAAGAAGTCTTTTCGTATAACTCCTAGAACTCATGTAGTGAACTTCTCCCCCCCAAAGGGGGGATAATCATATGTAACTAAGTTATAAAACATTTAACAGTATATTTTAATAGTTATTTAAATATTATGCATTAACTTGGTGTACTACTCTTGTCCATTGTTTATATTACTTATATGATTGTATAACTTCTGAAAAGACATAAATACCACCAAGATTTATGAGGAATTGGCAAATGCAGTTACTGACCCACTACTCCATCTTAATTACTTACTAGATGGATGGATGGCATTCGGCAGATAATATTTGTATGTAGGTGTGTATAGGCATAATCTCTATCTCTCTCTGTGTGTCTTTATCCGATGTGTGTTGATGGGTGTTTTTGTTGTTGTTGTTGCTTGTTTCTTTGGTGTTTCCTGTTTTCGTTCTTCACATCATCAGAGAAGGTATTTGAGTAGAAGACGGAAGTGTGTGGAAATGTATTTATATACTTCTATCTCACTCCATCTAGCCTAAAAATTAAAACAAAAATTTATGAGATTTCTTTTTAAAGCTAAATTTTACCCCGTAATAAATTTTGATTTTTTAGCTTATGGGATTTTTCTGTAAGCTTTTGGATTGGTTTCAATTGTCAGACTTTGTCATGAACTAACTCATCGTTGAAGACCGCCAGGGAACCCTGAGCGGCTGTTTTGTCTTAGTTTAGGACTTTTCAGCAGTGTGCACGCATGACCCCACCTACCTGCGACTGAACCCAAAACCGTGAAGTTATGAGACTAAGTTCGTTGATCATTCAGTTACTTAGGCCATCTGGAGTTTCGGGTTTCGATCACTAATGAGGTTGTGAATGTGAACTAATGAAGAGATCCAAAGTACGATAGAATCTTGAGATTTCGTTGTCATTAGTTTTCGTTGACAGTTTTCTCGATCCCGATATTTTGACGTATTCGGTAAAAAACTTCGTTTTTCAACGATTTTCATTGACGTAGTACTCTGTTACTTAGTTTGATGCGTCCATTGGCCTTAACGCATGACTCTTGGCTAATCGGTCCACCTATTTCAGTTTGCTTAGTATCGCCCAATGCTTGATACCTGTATAACCTGTTCAGGACAACTATATTTTAGCTATCTACTGGAAAGTTACATTTCAGAGAGAAAAACAAGGATTATGTCTAGGTTAACTGAAGCGTCAATCTTATGGAAAAGCTATGTTAACAGCGACCTTTCATGCTTATGAAAGTGATAATCGGTAAACCTTTGTGTGCTTATCGAAGTGTATATGCGGGTGTTTAGTACTTGCACCAGGGTAGTTGACTACTTCTCAGTGTACGCGAAACAGAAAGAGCAATACCGTTACGTAACCACAGAGCCCATGCGACAATTGATTGAGGTCTGTCACACACAGCCTGTTTAAAGTAGTATTGGGGTTCTTTTCGTATTAATATCTTGCCACCGTCGCATTCGAAGTCGGGATGTGCAGGTTTTGGGTTCGACCTGTCCTGACCCCTCTTAATCTCTAGAGTGGAGAGATAACTGGCTTGCTGGTCATCTAAGGGAAACAGTTTACCGCTTTTACATGCCCATCCGCCTACAGTTCCCAACATATTGTGAACGACTTACACTATGATGAAAAACGCTTTAGTCTAACTGCTTTGTAAATGATTCTGCCGAAAGCTGCTACCTTGATGTGAATGTCAGGCTTGCATACTACAGTGACCCAAGAAGCTACACTGGCGGGAACTTATTTTCTTCCAGGTACTACCGTACTATCAGGAAGGTTGTTTGAATGGCGGTTGGACAAAATCTGGATACAAAATCCAGATGAATCGAGCGATGTGCTTATCTGTATTGGTCACCAGCAATCATGCTAACGCTGCCTGTCGGATGAGACTTCAAATCAAAAAGTTTGGGGTATAGTACTGTAAGACAGCCACCTGCTCCGAATATCTCCTCCATCTGGAAGTTCGAATAGGATGTACCTGCGCTTATCCGGGGACCCCGTGGCGTCGGCATCCGCCGTAGCTGGTATCACTGTCACACTAAGCGCTGAGCCGGAGCTACATTACTCAACCGGATCCCAATTAATAGTCGTTTATGAGCTGTGAGGCTGGAAGATCCTACTAAGAGGCAGTTAAGCGGTGTCTGTTTGTTGTCTCTGTCTGTGCACCGATGGGTCGCAGTCCGGATGCAATTAAGGGTGAGCTTTATTACTGAATGAGCGATCTCCTGAAACACGCGTTAGAGAGATATCGCAGTGCTGGCTTGGGAACTGAATGAACAGGTTGGGTTCTCAGTCTGGTTCTCAGCAGAGTCATCTAGGTGGTCAGTGGAGATTACATGGTCTTAGGTTAGATAACAGTGACCGTCTTTTGCAGCTAGCTTATCGCAGATAACAATGTGTTTCTAGCCATCACCGATTTCTGACACAGTCATCGCTGTACTTGGTGTCCTCCCTCTGCCAGTCAAGCCTGGATTCAGATTGATCATACTGCTCTCAGTTTCCGATGGCGGTGATACATACATGACTTACTTTCGGTCCTTCTGGAGTACATGTCTGGACTCCTGTGATGCCTGCTAGATTCGTTTTGCGTTTTGTTGACGTTCACAAACTTTGTCCTCTACATGTTGATTTGAGCGACCTGAACTGGTATCACCTGCTGACTCTTTAAAGTACCAGGCCGAGTTACAATCAAAGCTAGCAACCCTTCAAGCATTATAGATGAACACTGGCGAAATCTTCATGGCGCCGGATGAAGGTTATTTCTTTTAGATTAGCATCGGTGGTACGTCACGACTCCATGGTTGAGGTCCAATAGATAGCTCCAAACGTTATCAGATAATGCGAATATGGTGTAATCTACCTGTTCCTCCCCTTTCTAACAGTAATGCGGCGAATGTTGTATGGTCTGGTTAAAAATAGCTGCTTCCTTTCTGGATGAAACCTTTTATTCATTCTCTCTTTATTTGCTTCATGTATTATTGTTTCATTGTTTTTCTGTGAAGCATCTTCTTTGTGCCTATATTGTACCAGGTTCTAAACAATTAAATAACTTCTAGCAATATAAAACCTGCAAGAACATTAGGCCCAGGTAGTATAGCTCTTTAGGTCATCTCGATATACAAGGCCGATCACCACGTTAGGTAGTAGCTATCTGTCCGACCTTGCTGATTCACTCGTATTACTAAAAACAAAATATTCAGCCGTACTGTGATGACGTCGTATAGTTAGAAGTCATCTCTCTCAAACTGATTTTCATGCTCCAGGATACGATTCACACATCAGCGCCTGTCTCGACTGGCGATACTGCCATGGTTAAAGTGGATGAATTCTACGTAGTACAGTAGAACCTGTATTTTGTTTAAACTGCATTAAATGTCATGAATTTCTGAAAATAAAATGAAAAGAATATTTGTACTATATGTTTAGCGGTGTATGTGTGTGTGTGTGTTAAAACTTCATCGTTGTATCTTTCTATTGACATAAGGTATCCTTTCGCCAAAAATCAACTTTATAAGTGTCAGTAAGCAATATTTACAACAGAAATTATTATTCAGTAAGTGAAAATGAATGAAGATGAACAGTGGACTATAACATTAAAAGAAACTCAATAGATTTTATTATTATGTTGATTCTGTGCATAGTATATTTTTCATCATGTACGTAGAATGCAGATAGATTAGAAGTAAACCTTAGCAGTTTTTACACATTATTAGAGGACAATTCTTTTTCATTAGTGTACAGTTCTTCATGGATCGAAATCAAGAACAATCATGTCAGTACAGATACAAAAGATTTGCGTGGCATTTACCACACCTTACGTCATCTCTAACGTAGGCGGGATATCCGGGTATCGATCAAAGGACGTGGGCGTACAGAAGTTCTCTGTGTCCTTCATTCTCTGTCTGTCTGTCTGTTTTCGACATAGAACTTTGCACAAATGTGCGGAAGTTCAAGTCGCCACATTCCGTGTAGCACGCGAAGCAAGAGAAGAAAGTACAAGAAAAGCATAATAGAAACAGTGAGCAGAGGTGTGAGACAAAGGAGTAATAAAGAAATACAAAACAGTTTCATTGAAGATCATAAGTCACAGGGAGTGGATGCATCTGCGCCACTGAGAACGATTTTGAGCCATGTCACCAATTGTTTCCAACCATAGATTTTTACCGTCCCGAGGACCCCAGCCTGGAAGTCTACACCTTCCTACGTGGCTTAGACCAACTGTTGTGGATTTCATTGACTGGTGATGCCAAGTTTTTGTTTGACCGCCGCTAGCTTTTTTCCAGCCTGACCCTATATCCGCTAACATTGCTCGTCGAGGGAGGCGATGGCTTGGCATACGTAACACATGTCCTAACCATCTCAGTCTTTGTAGCTTCACGACTTCGTCGATTGATTTCCCCTGTTTACCTAGAACTCTACGCCTAACCTCCATGTTGCTCACCTTATTATGCCACTTTACACGGGAAATAGAACGCAGGCACCTATGAT